CTTTCCTCATTATTCATTGTCTCATTTTCATTACATCTATAAAGTGCTGATTTGTACATTTAATGACTTTTTGGATGTTGCTGAGAATTAGAAATTTTCTAAACATTTTTGTTCTTTAATAATAAATCTGCTTCAGAAGTAGGCATTTTCTTTAGTTCTTCAGGTGATCTTTTCTTTTGGAACATTAATGTTTTCTCATAGGTCCTGTATATTTTCTCTGTGTGCAATTTGCCTAGATTCAAATTCTAACTCTTCCACTTTCTAACTACCATTTACTCACTAAATAGACCATGGGTCTCAGTTTCTTGATCTGTAACGTTGAAATAATAATGGCACCTATCTGTAGTATTGAGATAATAGTGGTACCTATCTTACAGAATTTATATGAAGAATAAAGGAATGAATATTTGAAAAGAATTTAGAACAGTATCTGGTATGTACTAAACACCATATAAATGTCTGATAAATAAAATTAAATTTTTTTTCACTTGAGCTATCCAGTTGACTTCTTTTGTTTGTTTGTTTTGGCAACTGCCTTTCCACAGGAAAACTCCCAGGCATGGTCTTTTGCTTATACTGGTAGCCCATCCCTGTTTTTATCCTTTTTCTCCATTACAGGAGGCTTTTTTTTTTGAGATGGAGTCTCACTCTGTTGCTAGGCTGGAGTGCAGTGGTGCGATCTCGGCTCGCGATCAGGAGAATCGCTTGAACCCAGGAGGCAGAGGTTGCAGTGAGCCTCCCGCCTCATGCCATTGCACTCCAGCCTGGGTAACAGAGCAAAATTCGTCTCAAAAAAAAAAAAAACAAAAAAACTCTATTTTGTGTGTCTAGAACTAGTATTTTTGCATTAATTCCCAGTTTTTTTAAAAAAGATCTATTCTCTTTCTCCCTTTTGTTTGCTAAAATTTAAAAAAATGTGGTAGAGATATTCAAACTTCATTCTGTTTATCATCTAGTGTTAGATGGGCTGCCTAGCTCTTTTGAACTAGGTAAGAGCTGCTCCCCATGGAAGTTCACAGCTCCCCTCAGGATCAGGGTGATTCTCAAAGAACATGCATTGTCAAGGTCAGCTTTCCCTCCAGGCTCCCCTGCTGCTGTGCATGCTGTCTGTCCTGGGTTGTGTAGGCCCAAACCAGTGGTTGCCAAGAGGGGTGATTTTGACCCTGGGGGCTTTTGGCAACATTTGGAGACATTTTGGTTGTCACAGCTTGGGAGGGTGCTCCTGGCATCTAGTGGGTAGGAGCTAAGGATGCTGCTAAACTTCCTACAATACACAGGACAGTCCCTCCACAATAAAGAATCATCCAGCCCAAATTGTCAATAGTGCTGAGGTTGAGAAGCCCTGGCTTAGATGTATTTTCCTTCTCAATTTCCACAAAAGCCTATTCACATGAAGTCCCTATGAGTATAGAAAACATCACTGGAGAATCAGGGGGTGCCAGGAGCAGGAGGAGGGGTTTACATTGCAGTCATGCAAATGATTTGAGCGTTAGGCATTCCTATTCCTAAATACCCTTCTGCCACCCCAGTTATCAGGGTATATCCTCTATTCTTTCACTTGATTTAGTTCCCAGCCTTATGCCTTCTCATTGTCACTTTCTTTCTTTATCCTATCTGAAGTAAAAAATATATATATTTTTTCCCTGCCACATGAAAAGGCAGTTTAACTATCTGTATAGTTGTTTAGGTTCCCACCAATAGCCACACACAGCAAAACAAGTTATTTTCCCAAACAATGACAGTTCTTTCCCTAGGAGGAACTGTAGTACCAGTTATTAAGATAATATTTTTACCTAATTTCATAAGTATAATACTTAAACAGTTTTTAATCATTTTAAATATAGGAAAAATAAGGTATCAGGTTTTACCACCATCTGAGAATCTTAACATATTGACATAACTATCATAGATCTAATTTTTTCATGTTATAAGCCATTACACCCTACAGAAATCCTATAATTTCTACTACATTTATTCATATTTATTTCCCCTGTGTTTCTGAGTTCATTGCTTGCTTTTCCAGATTGTCAGTGCTGCATTATAGGTTAGGTGATTATAACAGATGGATTTCCAGGTTTGGAGTCTTTGAGTTCCACTGCTTAATTTTACTATCCAGCATTTACATGGAAGATAGGACAGTCTGAGCTCAGAAATAGAGTGGTCTTACCATCCAGATAGCAAGTCTTCCTCAAGGCTTTTGGCTGTAATAAAATCATTTGTGAATTATTTAAATTCTCATTTACGGTCTCCTCCTAACATTGTTGACATTCTAATATGAGTATGTTATGGGAAAATAAAGTTTTTATTCAAATAAGAGAAGCTTTACTAAAATATATCCAATGGCACATATTTGTACTTAGTTTAACCAATATTGTAGTAGCTGGAATTAATTAAGGTACTATATATTATAAATCTAGTATGAGAAATATGCTGGAGTGCATAGGTAGCTACAGAAAACATCTATTCACTGCATTTTAATAAACCTTCTTAAATTACACTTCTTTAAAAATAACTTTTCTGGCCAGGCATGGTGGCTCACTCCTGCAATCCCAGCACTTTGGGAGGCTAAGCCGGGTGGATCACCCGAGGTGAGGAGTTCAAGACCAGCCTGGCCAACATGGTGAAACCTCATCTGTACTAAAAATAGAAAAATTAGCTGGGTGTGGTGGCGCATGCCTGTAATCACAGCTACTCTGGAGGCTGATGCATGAGAATTGCTTGAACCCGGGAGCTGGAGGTTGCACTGAGCCAAGATAGTACCACTGCACTCCAGCCTGGGTGGCAGAGCAAAACACTGTTTCGGAAAAAAAAAAACAAAAGCCCCCCAAATTCTTTTCTTTCTCATAACTTTTTGTATGAGCCCTTTTATCCATTCACCCATCTATTAGGTTGGTGCAAAAATTGAGGGTTTTGCCATTATTTTTAAATTGCAAAATCTGCAATTACTTTTGCAACAACCTAATGTTTCTTTCTCCCTCTCTCCCTCCCTCTCTCTTCTTTTCTTCCTCTCTTCCTCCCTCCCTTCCTTCCATTTTTCTCCCTTTCTTCTTAGTACTTTAGTATGACTTATATACCACTTAACTTAAGTGTTAAAACTGGTTGACTTAAACATATATATACACCTATGAGACCACTCCCCAGATGAAGATACCTTATCAATATACACCCACACCACCCTCCATCTCCCTAGAAAGTTTCCTTTCCAGTCAGTATTCCCTCCCAGAGCTAATCACTGTTCTGACTTCTATCATAATGCAATCAGTATGTACTTTTTTGTATCTGTTGTCCACATAATATTTTTGAAATATATCCATGTTATTGTGTGTATTGGTTTGCTCCTTTTTGCTAAATAGTATTCCATTGTGTGACTATTCCACAATTTGTTTATCCATTCTTATGCTGATAGACAATGAGTTGTTTTCAGTGTTTGACTATCATGAATACAGCTGCTATGAGCATTCTTGTATAACTTGTGAACATAAGCACTCATTTATCTTGGATAAATATATCTAGGAGTGGAATTACTAGGTCATAGGGTAGTTGTATGTTAAACTCCAAATACTTTTCTCAGGTGATTATACCCATTTTCCATTCCCACCAGCAGTATATGGGAGTTCCTCTTGCTCCATATCCTTACCAACACTTGGTATTGCAGTCTTTTTATTTTTAGACATTCTGGTTGATGTCATGGTCCATGTATATTTTAAATTATGAAAATAACTGATTTTTTTTTATTGTAGAATATTTGCACAACATAGAAGTATATAGAATATTTGGCAGAGTGGTTGTTTGTTTTTTGGTTTTTTTTTAGAGACAAGGTCTCACTCTGTTGTCCAGGCTGGAGCACAGTGGCACGATTACGGCCTTAATCGTCCAGGCTCAAGTGATTCTCCCACCTCAGCCTCATGAATAGTTGGGACAATAGGCATATGCCACCATGCCCAGCCAATTATTTTTATTTTTAGTAGAGACGAGAGTCTTGCTGTGTTGCCCAGGCTGGTCTTAAACTCCTGAGCTCAAGCAATCCTTTCTCTCCCAAAATGCTGGGATTACAGGTGTGAGCCACTGCACCCACCCTGGGTTTTTAAAAAAAAATTTTTTTTTTTTTTTTTTTTTTTACCAATCTATCCATCTATCTATGTGTATATATATTTAAACTGCTACACAGTATTTAACAGTTTATTTAGCAATTGTCCTATTGATGGATGTTTAAGGTTATTTCCAAATATTTTATATATCCACAGTGCTGTAGAAAACATCTTTATCTGTGCATCTTAGTGTACATATGCAGACTTTTTTTTTTTTTGAGGCAAAGTCTCGCTTTGTCACCCAGGCTGTAGTGGAATGGCACAATCTCGGCTCACTGCAACCTCTGCCTCCTGGGTTCAAGTGATTCTCATGCCTCGACCTCCTGAGTAGCTGGAATTACAGGCGCGCACCACCACTCCTGGCTAATTTTTGTATTTTTAGTAGAGACAGGGTTTCATCATGTTGCCCAGGCTGGTCTTGAACTCCTGACCTCAGGTAATCCTCCTGCCTCGGCTTCCCAAAGTGCTGGGATTACAGGCGTGAGCTACTGCACTCGGTCATATGAAGATGTTTCTATAGAATATATTCTTAGACTCTCAAATAAAGATTGCAAAAGTGTTAATCCTGGATTTCTAGGCTGGCTGCTAGTTAAAACTTGATCTAAAGTACTCTCATTGTTTTAGTTTCCGGTTTTTGTTTTCTCTGTGTTGTGAGTATATAGATATTTTCATTTTTCCTCCACAGGAAGTAGAAGGAAAATTAAAAATATAAACACTACACATTTCTTAGGTCATGGGGCAAACACTGTTAGCAGGTCGAACCTAGCCACAACCAGAACATGCCGACGACTTTTCTATTGTAATGCTAACAACTTCCTGCAAACAAAACAAAGCTGGTAGGTATTAGGTGTGGTTTTAGCTTGCCAACATGTTTTCCTTCTTGGCAAAAGGTAAAAAGTATAAGCCTTAATGATGACGTTTTTCAGGTCAAAAGTTTTAGGTAAGTTTAAAACATGTTCTAGACAAATTGAAAGTCATTTTTCCCCACTATGGTACTTTTATGTAATTGATGTGAAAATAGATAAGGCAAGGTTTCCATGAAGGTTTCAATTAATAGGACAGGAAAATTAAACACTGAAGTCTTAGAGGTTTGATTTTAGTCATATATTTAAGAGTGACTGCAGAAATCCTAATGGTCTGGTAACTTCAGTGTACCTGTGACAAGGAATTGGGAATTATTATTTTTGTTTCTATCAGCAGCTGTCAATGAGACTTTATCCAAGTGGGATTACCGACTAGGTTGCTTTCTTCCATAAAATAGCAATATGTAACTTAGAGAGATACTTGTGACATTTAATTAAATGTATAGAATACTCAGATACCCTAGAATAAAATATGGTTTTCTACTGTTTCCAAGGTGGAGATTGTTTTGGGGTGGCAGGCGTGGTTGGCTAGACATGACAAGGTGGTTAGGCATAGCCCATTATTTTTGGAAAGATTGTCTTACTGTTAGTAGTTCACTCATGGAAGTCCTGGGGATGACACAAACAGATTTTTACTCCTTGCCCACCACCACCAGTACAAGAAGAGCCCTGCATGGGCCCCTGGGAGTCCCTCCTTCCCTTGTTCTCCTTTCTTCTTTTCCTCCACAAACCCAACAAACCTTTTCTATCTCTCTACCCTTTTCCACCCAGGGTCCCATCTCCATCCCAGAGGGTGATGTCTGGTCTTTTAGGTTTTAACTGTTTCAGAGTATTCAGAGTGAAGCATCTGCAAGATAAAGGAAACATTTTCCTTATAACTAGAAAAAAAATACCAGTATCATTGAAAATGTAAGAGAAGATGAGGCTGAAATAGCATCCTGCTCCTAGAATTTTTAAAAAGTCAATACATAATTTTCCAATGTTCACTTAGATGTTTTCTTATAGAAGCAATGTTTTTGTAGGAAAAAGGACCATGTTTTTAGGCTGATTTGCAGGCCAACCTATTTTTTAAAAACTGCTTTTCAAGTATTATACCTAGAGAAGAGGAGTATAGACAATATTTTGATGGGGACCCACCTTCCAACTTGGGCTTCTGAAAACTCCTTCTCTGCTGAATATCTCCCTCTTCTACTTGCTTCCTCTTTGTTAATTGGGGGAGTGCACTCTTCATCCCCCTCCTCTCCAACTAACTCCAATCTCTGATGGTGGTAATTGTGACTGGAGAATGACTCCAATGAGCAGGGCTGGGCAGGAGTGAGGAGCTGATGGGAGCCAGGTTGGGGTTCTGAGGATAAGGGAAGAGACCATCTAAGGGAACAGAATGAGGGCAGGAATGGGGCCCTACCTAGGGAGGAGGTGAGAACCAGTGGAAGGACCCAAAGGGAAGGAAGAACAGAATTTCTTCTGTGTCTCTCTCTTCTTTCCCTCTCCTGCACTCCCATCTCCAGCTCTATCTTTCTGTTGAGAGTGTGACTGCCAACCAACAGGCTTAGAGGGCTATGAAAAGAGGAGAAGGGTTAGGGGATGGGATGAGGGATGATGGCAGAAGTATGCAGGGGGCTGATGAAGTAAAACGAGAATAAAATCACCAACAAAGGGAGAGAATGGACATTTCTGTGATTATGCCCAGTGAGGACAAGCATTCACATTTGAAGAGTATTTGCCAGTACTTGAGACTTTTTTTTTTTTTTTTTTTTTTGCCAAACCGTTTTCCCCATAGACAAAAACCTCAAATATTTTCTTGAGTGTAATGCTAGAATAGGCGGAAATTTATGCCATTTTTCTTTTTGGAAATGTGAGTTCTGCTTTAGTAGTTCAAATACTTTTACAAGATTTCCCCTCTAGGAACACTTTGATTGGTATTTGGTTGGTGGAGTTGTTTTCAACAGCATTTGGCCATTCATCCTGCCTCCAAATAAAAGGTTGATTGAAGTGAACTTTTGAGTTTTAGAAACATATATCAACAAAAACCCTTGCAATTGTTAGGGAACCCAGACAAGTACTTTTTGCTTTTAGTGTACTAGGAGCATTACTTAGAAAACAGGAGGCAACCTTAATCTTTTAGTAGTTTGAAAAATATGACCCATAAGATGTCATTCTCCTCTAAATAAACAAAAGAGCAGCTTTGTGAATGTACAAGATCAGAGAATTTGGGAGAATGTAAGAAACTTTCACCAGTCTACAAAACCTAGTGCTCTTGGGTGCATCCTGCCAAGTCGGAATCTTTTCAGCTGGCCTTCAAATTCTACAGCGGTTTTTTGCTGGGGTGTGATAATCATATCATGCATCTAGTGTTGCAAATACACTGTCTTCCCTTGTCCTTCAGTCATCTTTTCCTGTTTGCTTTCCCTGCCCTGATGTGCTGGCATAGATATCTACAAGCTACCTAGAAGCTGAGAGAGTTTTCGTTTTAGGGCAGCTATGAATTATAACAAAGATGGATTGTTGTCAGAGCTGTGTTTACCTTTTAAATATGCGACTTCAAATGATTTTATATTACTTTTAGTACAAAATACCGTATATTGCTACAAGCTTGCCCTCCATATTAATCTTTCACCACCCTCCACCTGACCTCTGTGTTCTGCCCTTCAATTTGAAATTTTTTGTCTCTCCACCTAAACTGTGATCTCTTACCTCTGGACCTCTGCACATGATGTTCCAATGCCTGGGCCATTCTTTTCCTCATCTCACCAACTTCCCACCTTTCCCCCAATATACATTCTCGGCCTGCTAATTTTGGGGGTGAAAGATGAGTTTCAGGTGAAAGATGAGTTCTCTGAGAGGCTTTCCGTGATTTACCTTCCCCTCTAGACTAGGTACCTCTACCATGGGCCTGTATACCCATCACTTCCTTTGTTGTCACAATTTATTCTAATTGTCTATTTAAGTCTATATTCTTTGCTAGACTGTAAACTCTTAGTTAAGGTAGAGATTAGATCTTTTCTGGTTACTTTTTGTGCTTAGCCTGTGATAAGCACTCAATAAATATTTCTTGAAGAATAAATGCATTTAGACAATGTGGCATTGTTTGTGGTTGTTTTTGATTTTGCCTTTTCTCTTTGGTCTGAGGACATTTACACCGTGAGGTATTGTTCACTCTCTAGTTGAGGGTAACTGTGGGAAGACTCTGTAGCATCAGGTCCTACACAGAGTGAATGCTGCGATGTCAGAAGCATCTGGAGAACGTTCTTATGCAGTTAGTGGTGCTTTTCACACTGGGTGTTACACTTACAGGAAGCCCAAGGCATTTAGATGTGACTGCACATGATGTTTATATTAGAAGAGCTCTTGTTTGTGAAAGGTTGATCACTTCATAGAAAACCCACCAGATAGAATAGTGACCTTGGTTAAATAAAGAAGGTAATATATTGAGAGATCTTTTAAAATCTCTTCCCTGTTCAGTGGTGAGTAGTCTGTTCTGAGCAGGGTTGCCCAGGTCTCTCTGGGTTATGGGTTGTAATCACTGTGAGTGGCATCATCTTTTACATTGAAGAGCAAATATATATATACACACATATATATATTTGCTTATATATGTGTGTATATATATTTTAATTAATTAATTTATTTATTTATTTATTGAAACAGAGTTTTGCTCTTGTTGCCTAGGCTGGAGTGCAATGGCGCGCTCTTGGCTCACTGCAACCTCCACCTCCCAGGTTCAAGCAGTTCTCCTGCCTTAGCCTTTCGAGTAGCTGGGATTACAGGCATGTACCACCATGCCCGGCTAATTTTGTATTTTTAGTAGAGATGGGGTTTCTCCATGTTGGTCAGGCTGGTCTCAAACTCCCAACCTCAGGTGATCCACCCACCTCAGCCTCCCAAAGTGCTGGGATTACAGGCGTGAGCCACCACGCGCGGCCCTGAAGAGCAAATGTTTTATATACTGGTCTGAAGTTTCCTTTCCTAGGTTTTCATCAAGTTTTGGTATCAGGGTTATATTGGCTTCGTAAAATGAATTGGAAAGCATATATAATACTAGAGATATGATCTCTCATGCAGACCTTGCTTTTAACTTCTTGATGTTTTGGTTATATGCTTATTCATCTAGTAAGTTTGTGGGTATATTTTTAGAGCAGATTTTTAAAAAAAAACTGGATGAGACAGATGGAAGAAGTTATCTTTGTGACCTTTTATTCTCCTGAGTAGTGCAGGTGAAGAAACAAGTACTTAAATTAACATGTGACCTCCTAAAGTGTTTTGAAAGGAAGTTTTAAAAAATTAATATGGAGTAAACTTGAAAAGTAAAATCATAATAAAAACAACTTGTCCTTAGTGACATCACTGGGGGATAATTATATCATGTTAATTATTTTTTAACAATTTTAATATGCACAACTATAATTACATAGGCTATTTTACTTATAATTTAGTAAGGATATTTGTCAGTTATTACTCAAGAAAGCTGGAGGAAAGTGAATTTAGTAAGGAGAGTTGATGTTCAAAATTATATATATGTATAGTATTAATCATCTACAGGAATAAAGTGTATACTTTAACACTCCACCTCCTGTAGGATCTTCTTTATTCCCCACTCGTTCTCTGACCATGGGGCTTCCTTTCCTTTTTCACAACTACTTGAGCTGAACCCACTACTGCTGAGTGAAATGAAGATGAGGACCAAAAATTAAAGTCTATCCAATTTGTGAGTAATATTACTTCATGCTTGCATAATGGTTTTTATTTTACTTATTTTTTCTGATTTCAAAAAAGATATATTTAGAAATATAGAGAATATAAAGAAGATGATGAAAACGGCAGCAATTCACTACCCAGAGATGGCCGTTGTTAATATTCTGGTATTTATCACAGCGCCTGACTGGCACATAGGAAGGACTCAGTAAAGATCACATTAACGAATGAATTGAACCCTATCTTTTTTTATTTGCAAAACATTAAGATTATACCATATGCCACTTTTTAAATTAATAGGCTTTATATTTTTAGAACAGTTACAGATTTATAGAAAAATTAAACAGATAGTACAGAGTTCCCCTATTCCTCCTCTCCCCTCCAG